TACAACTATGGGCAAATATTTTAGAGAATCAGAAATTTAATTGCATGTCACGTTACTCCAACTTCTCTGCCCTTCCTGTCACTTCACCTGCTTGTAATCATTAGAAAGCAGAGTGTCAATTCTAAGCTGTAGTTGAGCACTAAAAGCACCACGCTGGCCCTCACTGGATCTACTTAATTAGAGATTAGGAGAGACAAAGCATAGGGAGAATATAAACATCATTTTGCCAGTTTATCAGTAAACAGGTTTCGGTTACCAAAGAGATAAGACTGAGGCTGCCTGTTTTATCTGTGCGGCCGGACTGGCGAGTTTACTTTCACTGGAACCACGCCTGCATCAGAATTCCCTCTGAAATGTCAACATGAACCATATTATTAATTTTCCAAGTTGCTGACCTTTCGTGTTGTCTGCATCATAAATCCAGAATTCTGAACTGTTTCTATTCATACAAGAACGTGCTCCACACGTCTCACGGTATCTGAACTCGGTACACAGGCTGCTCACACGTCACAAAACAGATGCTCACTGCAGCATCCCTGAAGAAGCTGCTGAGTTGGACCTTCCTAGTTCCACAGAGTCCACCAAATTAGCATCAGTTATCCTATCCAGCACGAAGGCAAAGAGGTTTCCTAGGTTACCCCAAAGTTCTAAGTGTATCCTTGCATGAAAAAAATTGTTTCAGAGTATTTTATCAAGGGTCACAGCACACAATCACATTAAAATAACTTGATTGTCAACTTGAGTTTAATTTCAATCGGGAAGAAGGAAAGAAAAACCAAAGTCCTTGGATTAGGAGACGGCCATTCCCACTTACATCTCCTCCCAATTAAAATGTTTTATATAGATCATCAGAACCTAATGCATCATACGCTCTACACAGCACGCAACATAAGGCTGTCGGTCTGTCATTTCTCTGGAAGAGCTCAATGTGATGAATGATCTGGTTACTCCTCTTTCTGGTATAAAAGATGGAGAAGCTTTGAGACAAAGAAATAAAGGCCAATGCATATTATAGATCTCACAGGGCTTAATATCATCCCTCCTGACTCGCACCTCTGAAAACAGTTAAGGTCACTATCTCTCCTTTATTTTCACTATGGATTTCAGTACATCACATCGGAACCCTACAAACATTTGACAGAATTTAATTTAAAGCAGAAACGGGAATGTCAGGAACATACAGCATTTGGGCTACAACAAACAATGCCACACCAGCATGTCATAAGAAAAATAAGTGACCTTCCCTCTTGACTCTGCTGACAAACACACTTGAAGACACTTGCAGGCCAGGATGTCAGTGTGATTTCTGGAAGATAATCTAATAAATAAAGACTTAAAAGAGTTTTTAAAACCCCCCAAAACTGACTACTTATTGCCTGAACTGAAAAACCTGCCTTTCCAAATCAACTAATGGTTTGGCAAGCCTACACGAAAGGCAAACAAACAAAAAGCATCTTTTCCTTTTAACATAGAATCTGCAATAAGAAAAAGAAATCAGCATTTTATTGATTTCCATAATGCCATCTCTACAGCTTAACAAACTCACTCAGCTGCTAATGCACTGATGCTATGGAGCCTTCCCATATAATTATACACCCTCCACTTTGCTGAGCCCCAGGGTGCTGTTTCCAACTTTCCAGAGGACCACTGCACCAAAAGTAAAAATAAAAAAACCTCTCTTTCATTACCCAAAGCAAACTGCAAACCAGATTTTGCTTATTTAAATGGGAAGTTAGAGAGACTTAATTTTGAAGGCAGGGAATAATCTGCTAGTCTGCATATATTTTCAGATTTGATATCGTGACAATGAACTCTCACTTAAACTCTCCCCACTTCTAATTTTTTTTCTTCCTAAGAGTACACAAAATACAGCATATAAATATTGCAACAATTATGATTTCCAGGGAGAGATTCTAAAGTCCTTCTCAGCTGAGAAGTGTTTCAAGAGGGCAATTCAGAATCAGACATAGATACTTTTGTGAATGTCACTGTAATTAACATTATAAAAAAATTATAAAATGTTACCATTGCTATAGTGAATATTTTATAAGTGAATGTATACTTCAAAGATATTTTTATTAGGTTTTTGTTTTAAGAAAGCAACCCTGGAACACCTTCTAAACCGAATTTAAGGAAGACATCTTCTTGAAGTCTAAAATCAAAGATGTCCTAAATAATTAATGAAGTAAATTCTGCAATTTTTCTCCATTTCTCAAACAAATTCAGCAGTCCATAACCAAACAGACAGCTCCAGTATATTTCAGTGAGAGTTTTGTTCAACTAGGGACTGCAGAATTTGGCCCAATTAATCTAGTACTGTCTATCTGGAAAGAATGTAATGGAACTCTGCAGTGTAAACACCCTCCCCAATGACAGAGTCCCCTTTCCTGCTCCCCCTGTTTATCCTGCCTTGATAGTTCAGATCCAACTGCACTGTATTCACCATGTCCATCATGATTCAATGTGCCATGTGAGCTAAAATAATTAATTTTGCTAGGGTTTCCCATGAATATATTAAGTTGGAATCAGTTAATCTATTTCCTCTTGGAATGGTGAACTGCCTGGATTTTTGTTCAACAAACAAACAAACAAGTTGACAGTATCAATACAGAGTTGGAGAACCACTAAAAACAATCTAGTTTGCATAATTAATGTTAATTACAATAACATCTCAATCAGTGACACAAAGGCTTAGCAATGAACACAGTCATACGAGGAAGTGAAAACATCAAACAAACATGAAAGGTTCTTGCCTTGTTCTGAAAGAGTATCAAGCAAACTTTCAAGAGATTTATAAATAAGAACAGAAAGGCAGAAGACAGTTCTGCTTTGTTAGACATATTTTCTTTACAGGCTGCTTAGTACGGGAGCTTTCTTCTGAGATTGTAACAAGACAGTGGATCTGAGCTGTGGACACACCAGATAATACTATCTTTTCACAACATCACATCCAAGTCATTATCAACTGCTTTAAAGAAAAACAACTGGGGGCCTGATCCTTCTGCCAGTGATTTCAATAGCAAACATTTAAACAATGCGATGTGGATGTTTGGGGGTTCTAGAGACAGAGGGGAATTTGAAAAAAACAACTCCAACTTGAACACAGTGTGTAGGTATGGAATCCCTCAGGCAAAGAGGAATTTCAAGACAAGATAATTAATATTTCAACAATCTTTTTCCTACTTTCCATAGCAACAAGGGAAATCTAAACAGACAGAAAACTTACCTGCCTGTTTCACTTGGCAGCACAGAAGTCTTAAAAAACGGGGTTTTTTTGGTACGGTCACTTAACGGAGCAGATTCACATTTAATCCTCAGAAGTTTTCCTCACGGCCCAAGAAAAATATTTATCCAGTATATTCTCATTTTAAAGGAAAGGGGGGGGGGGGGGGGGGAAATAGTTATGAAAAAATAAGCGCCACTCTACCTCACCCGGGTTGGTGCTGTAGTACACAAGTAGTCACACGGGTATCCTAGGGAGTACCTGCGCAGTAAAGCACCACTCAGGGTGAGTAAGGGTGGTGTAATTGGGTGTGCTGAGAGAAGGAATGAGAGCCTGTCACATCATTACTACAGGGGCCTTTCTGAAAACATGAGTTTCTTGATTACTCTTCCCATTAATGCAAATCTGCTCCGTTAATGAAGTTACACCGGTGCTAAACTGGTACCAGAGGAGAAACAGGCCCTGTTTCATGTTGATTTAAGAGACCACAGCTCAAGGACCTCCCTATAAAGGTAAATTTTAGGAAGTTATCATGTTATGTTGGGCAAGATACTCCTTGGGAAAAGGACTGATTTTCTACTTGGTATCATTCTTACAGCTGATTCTTTATTCCGCTCCCTCTCTTTATAGATAGAAGCAAGACAAGATATGGTAAAGACTTCGTTTCCTCTAGAAATTTACTGATCTTAAGCACACTTAAGACTACACTTGAGTACCCACTGAGTAAAGCCACATTTTACTAGTATTTATTTACAAGAGTGCTTGCCTTAAAAAAGAGAAACTTCATGTGGAGGACTCCCAGAATGATGCTGACCTTTCCTCTTAACAAAAGTTCAATAGATTTATTTTTCAGATGCCCAAGAAAGATGATTTTGGAGCGCTGTGAGGTTTGGTAAACCTTCAATTCGGCAATTAGCTCCCATGTGATATGAATTACAAAGACCAAGCAATTAATATTAATAAATAAACCCAGCAAAGTACCAAGGGTTTGGACGCCCTGTGTATGGAAAGGCTGCTGTATTTGCTGGGGGTTTTCCATCCCTCTGTTTTATTTTAGCTACTCTGAACATACAACACATGAGAACATATACCACATTCATGCTTCTAAACATACATTAAAGAGAGAGAGAGAAAAAAATTAAAAATCAATAGCAATGAAACAGAGACACAATGTGAAATGGTTAAGCACTCCCAAATTCAAGCCAAAGCCACCAAAGCTCCCCGCTGCGGACCACGGCTTCCCCCTTCCAAAAACGGCAAGTCAAGCCCAGGTAACACCGAAACATCCAGGAACGACAGGGTGGGGAGGAGGATGGAGCAACCTAGCAATACAAAAGGTGGGTTTCCCCCGGTTTCCCAGGACGGACACTGCCCTGAGCCTGGTACGGAGGGGGGGGGGGTTGTTCGACCCAGGCGGTTTTTCGGGATACCCTCCCCATCACCACAGCCTCAACCCGGGGGGATGGGGATAAATAAAATAAACCCCACAAAATAAAACCCACAAAAATAAAATAAAAATCACAACATAAAATAAACAAACCACAAAAATAAAATAAAAATCACCACCGCCGGCAGCACGACGCGCATTGGAAGTTGGCAACGGCGCCGGCGGGGTTATTATCTTAATTTTCTTTTTTTTTCCGTCCCTTCTCTGGCGGTCCGAGCGGGCAGTGCCCAGCGCCGAGAGATGGGGATGCCCCAACTTCGGAGCAGTTGTCGGTGCCCGCGCCCCCCGCGCCCCCCGAGCCAGCCCGGAGGGGCCGTGCCCGGCACTCACCCGCTCCGGGGGCTCCGCGGCGAGGACCGGCGAGGGGAGCGGGGGATCTGCGGAGAGGGGGGGGACGCGGTGGGGACACACGGACACACACACAGACACACACACACGCACAGGCGAGGGGAGCGCTTTAAACCGTGGGGAGGTCACTGCGAGACGCGCGGCGCTGCCCGGCTCTATCCCATGCCGCCGCGGCGGCCCCGAGCTGAGCGGGGTGAGCCGGGCGGGCAAGCGGCGGCGGCGGGAAGGATGTGACACGGTGACAAGTGCGGCCCGCCAGCCCTGTGCCGGGGGAGGGGGGCCGGGGCAGCCCAGGCAGCGCCGCCCGCCCGCACACACGGCATTGACGGCGCTGCCGTGACTCACACACGGGAGTTGGTCACAGGGCGGCACCGCGGAGTGGGGGACGGAGGGGGGCGGTGTCCCGCCCCCTCGGCCGCCTCACAGCCAATGGCGCGCCGCAGTGCGGCAGATTGACAGCGCGGCTGACCAATGGCAGCGAGGACGCGCCGCCAGCGCCCGAGCGGCCCCTCCGGCCCAATGAGTCTTCTGAGGACACTCCGCCGCCAGGGGCCGGGGGGAGCCCCGCGGGGGCGGGCGGCCGGGGCCCCCGCGACCAATCAGCGCCCAGGGTAGCGTTGATGGGCGGCGCGGGCGACCAATCAGAAGCGCGTGCGGGGGGGGGGGAAATATGGTCACGCAGGGAGGCAGCGGGGGCGGTGGAACCTCCGCGGGCGGGGCGGGGCGGGGCGGGGCGGGGCGGGGCGGGGCGGGGCCGGCGCCTCAGAGACCCCGAGCAGGGGAAGGGCTCGGCCCGGGCACCTCCTGCTCCGCGGGCGGCTCCGGAACGGAGCGGGGCTGAGCCCCGGCGCCGCCAAGGTCGTTTCCCGCGGGAGGAAGGAGAGTGGGGCCGTGGGCCTGGTGCGGGGGAAGCCGGGGGCGGCCGCGCTGGCACCGGTGAAGAGCCTGGGAAGGGGGTTGTGAGATCCTCGGCTTCCCTCGGGACACCGGGGCTTGGAATTGGGAAGTTGGGGTTTGCCTGTGTTTGACAGGTGTCACGGGCTCAAGGTCCTTTTTTATCTTCTTTTAAAAAAAAAAAAAATAAAAATTTATTTTTATTTCTGACAGATTTTTGGAGAACAAAGCACATCCCCAGGACCCAGCGCGATGTCGAAATTTGACCAGATGAATGAAAAAAAAAAATAATAAATGAAAGTAATAGCCCCGACAGCGCAATTCCTCCTCTCGTGCTGCTGGGTGTGTGTGGGGGGGAATTGACAGGTTGGAACAGTGTCGGTGGAAAGTAGAAAAGCAACATTGTTTTGAGGAATGATTAATATCGGAAGAATTTATTTTGGGTACGGGGAGGAAGTAATGCCCAGTAGGAGTTTCCAACAAATGCTGGAACCTCACCAAAAATTTAATCCTCGTGAAGGAAATGAGATACTCAAATTGTGTTTCACCTCTTCATGTCTACATGCAAACTCTTACACTAAGACCTGTTTTTTGCAGTGAAAGTATAAAATAGCTGATAAGACTTATGTAAGATAATGAGATAATGCTATCAGAATAAGGGACTACATTGGCATTTTCCCAGGTTGCAAAAATACACAGTTTTGTTTGGTTTAAAAAACTTGTTCCCTCATCAGAGTGCTATGAATACAGATTTTTTTTTCCCCCACGTATTTTGGCATTCACAGTAATTGAGGAGCTGAAAAACTACAACCTGCAATAATTTGTTCATGTTTTTCACTTTAGAAATAGTGGGACTAATTACAGTTTTTTTCTGCTAGCTTTTATTGAAACCCAGGGAGCTGGAGCAGAGATTTCACAGTTCCTCATTTGAAGCAGGAATTGTTAAATCATACACCAAAAAAAAAAAATGGCCTTCAGATTTGTGTCTTAGCATCAAAGGCTCCTTACTATAGTGTAGTCCTTGCTATAGTGTCTTGCAAGAAATCCAGGATGGATGGTATTCAAATTGCTCTAATATGAAAAGAGAAGAAAATAAGACCATTAAGGCCATCCTGTCAGGATAAAAAAAAAAAGGGAAGAAAAAAGATGGTGGGTGTAAGATATTCATTTCAGCTAACCATTGGGAATTATGAAGGATATTTATAAGGGATCCCCATATTTTAATTGATAGCAAAAGCAGAGAATTTAAGATCTGTCATCTTTCCCCCCCCCGCCATTAGAAAGAGGTTAAAATACTTGCAAGGATCTGCAACCTTCAGCAGTGCTCACACTGAGTCATGCTTAGGGACTTGTGAATGCTGCACAAAAGAGGGCTTTGCATCAAATCCTGTGCAATTTGGCAAACAAAATGAACAGAGTATTCACCATTCAATGATAGATGAATGAATATATATATATGTATATATGTATATACACACACCCCCCCCTCCTCCTCTTCAAAGAACTGAAAGGGGTGGGAATCTCAGGGCAGAGGACTGTCTTTTTGTAGTTCTTTTTTTCTTTAACAGCAATATCATAACAGAACTGAGACAGAAATTGAGCTCGTGAATTTGAGCGTGATTGTTTCTGGACGGTGAGAGTCTATAAGCAATCATCCCGCTCCACTGTACAACCTACAACAGGGTCTTCACACAACACTCCCAGGGACAGCAGCCGAGGGAATATTTCATATCATCCCAGTGCTGCAGCTTTCCCAATATACGGCAGTTTTTCTTCAGGGCCAGTGCTGGCAGGGAAGCAATTATATGAAGGCTTTTACTTTTAAAATCTCAATTTCACAGTTACAGGGGAAAGTAACACAGCCTGCCTGCCTGTGATTTCTGTCGGAGGTGGTTTGGGGTTTTGCAAGTTTGGTTGTTTAGGGTCATTTGTTTAATTGTTTGCTTCAGCTGAACTAAGCCAAGCTACTCCTCAGTTAGGCTGTGTTTAGAAATTGCAGTATTTCTACCCAACTGCTTCAAAACTGCTGACGATTAGACTAATGCTGCCCAGACAAGGATCAGCTCAGCAGGGATAGTTGGTGTCCCTGGCTTGGAGATGCAGCAGCTCACCCTCCGTAATTTGTGTGGGAAGGTCGCGTGTCGTGGATTTGGCTCTGGCTTTACCTGAGAGAACCAAACCACAAAACCCAAAGTAAAAGGAGCTCAGGCAACCAGCTCTGCTCAAGGTGTGTAGTGTGCCTGTAGCCAGGGTAGGTTCCAGGGTCTTGATGCAGCCCTCTCATCCTTGTAAGTGGGGAGTAATTCCCCTGGAGCTCATGGGTTTGAGGTTTCAAAGTCTGAAGCAAATCAAGGTCTGGCAAGAGGGGCCTGATCCCTCCCTGCTTGCATCCATGCACCTCCCAAGCAGTCAGAAATCTTTGATCCCATGGAGGTGCCCTGGTGACACGAACTCCACTTTCAGCTACATCTTCTAGGGTGCATCAGAAAGTGTGTATCATTTTGAAGAGAACACTTGCTAAAAATCTTTCTCTTCTAAGCGTAATTGAGATGATTTTGTTGATATTTTCTCACAAAGACCTTGAAGCCTGGCTTTTTTACTGCACCATAGCTGTTTACAAAATAAGATTGTTTAGTTAGTTAGTGACCTTGGGGAATAACTTTAAAAACCTGTGAATACTCACTTATATGTGAATAAAAGCAGTACATTTCCTTCATCTGTGTTTTGCTTTTTGAAAACATTCCAGTCAGTTAGATTAGCAGCTAGAAATGTTTATGGAAAGAATTTTAAACCCTTTTTAGAGGGTATTCATGGAAAGCAAAATTTTATCTCAAAAACACAGTCATCTTACCAGGTGTTAATTTATGTTCGCCGACTCAGGGAGCGCAAACCAGTATTATGTGTCTGATTTGTTCAGGTCGTGTATCTCTGCTGTTTATCCAGTCTTGTCTCTTTTTCTGCCCTGCTGATTCCTACTCCTCTGCTATGCCAGGGATGGAAAATGGAACATTTTATTTGTTCGCTTCACACCTTCTGCATTTCCCTCTTGAACAGAGGGCTCCTTTCTTGAGCAACAGTGAAACTAAGCTGCTATCACAAAGCAAACTTGGGGCCCTGGAATATAAAACCACTCCCTGCAATATTTAAATTCCTTTGAAAACCATCCTCTGCCATATGTCTATAAACACTGTCCAGCTGCAATGAGCTAGTAGATTCTTGGAGACCGTCTGCATTTAGCAAAGAAATAATAATATTGTGTGCTGCAATAGAGTCATTTGCCATTTTAAACATTTTGTGTAGATCTTAGGTAATTTTGATTCTTTCTCTGTTGGCAACTCTTAAGTAGAACTGAGAACAAAGGTATACCAGTGTAATATACTTACTTTTCTTAAATGGCCTTCATCTTTCTAAACAGTTATATGAAAAGTATTGGGTTTATTGCAGGACATACAGTGTAATTGTGTAGTTTGAAAGACAGAGATTTAAGTTTAGTGTCATAACTGCCATCACATAAACAGGCTAATGTGCGTGCTTCAGCAGTTTAGTGTCACATGCCCAATCCCTTTGCTTCACAAATGACCAGGAGAGAAGATCCAGAGCCCTTGTTGCAAGAAAACAGACCCTCCCTTACCTAATGGCAAAAAGTTCTGTAATGTTTTATCCCTAAGTCGTGCCATTTTCACATGTGTTTGTAAGCTGCTCCTTCACTTTACACTGTGCTGCTTCTGTTGGTTACAACACTGTCAGCTGTCCAGTGTCTGTGTCCCCACACAGCACTGTCAGACACCAACCTTTCATGTAATTTTAAAACTAAAATTACTTCACTAGTATCTTGCAGATACTTCTGCTCAAACAGCTTTATTGCCTGGTTTACAAACACTTCCAACCTAATCCATGAATGTATAATGCACGGAGCTTCTGGTATTATTCCACTACCAGAAACCACGTGACATTTATTATATTAAAGTACTGAATACTTCACTCTTAAGTCCAAAGTCTGAACCGCAATTTAAATATCATACTACATTTATCATAGAAATTAGCAGAACTTTTATGTGGGCCTCTTAAATACGTAAGGGGTGCTTGTGTGCAAACTTCCACAGCCAGGTGTGCCACCTGCGGCACCTCAGTATTGCCAGTTGTCATCTGACTGCAGCCCATTCAGGGCAGAGGCTGTATGGTTTTTCCTGCTTAGGAGTGGAGTTTCATGACTGTAACATGGTAACACTGACAAAAATACAATAAATAATAGCACTGAACCAAGCACAATTCATCTGTCAAATGCCAAGGGTCAGGTACTTGTAGCAGGGATGCTTTTGTGTGGTCCATGAGAACAAGATTTACTTCTAGAAAGTACCCAGTGAGATATTTCAAACACAAAAATTCGAGAAAACAAAGCTGCACGTGGAAAAGGATGCTGAAT